GTCGACTGTATCTCCCCTTCGCCAAAATCTACATGATGTTGGTAGCATTGTAGATTTTCGTTTGGTAGCAATGACACAAACGTTGTGCCGCCATCGCCATTTCGTTAGATAGCTTCAATTTAACGCGGTTCATAATTTGTTCATAGTTCTTTAGTTATTGCTGTAAGTTATTAAAAATCTGGTAACGGACTGTTCGAATCGAAACACTGCAGGTCAGTATCGTCTTAAATAAAGCAATGTTTCAGTTAAAACGACTTAGTGTATATGCTAAGTATACGTTTACCCCCAAATACCAAGATCCCGGTATAGTAACTATGTTCATTTAAACGTCTGAAACTGTTGCAGTGAAAATGAGCAAATTAAAAAAATCAGACAGCAGCAGCGAGAGCGAAGAGGAATATTCCGTGGAAAAAATAATTGATAGGCGAGTGGTCAAAGGCAAAGTAGAATATTTCCTGAAATGGAAGGGGTACAGTGAGACCGACAACACTTGGGAACCGGAGGAAAATCTGGACTGCCCTGATTTGATTCAAGAATTCGAACGGAACAGGAGAGCCAAAGGAGCTAAAGACAAGAAAAAGATAAAGGATTCAGAGGATTCAGACTCTAATGTTGACGATAAGAAGGCAAGTTGCTTTTCAACCAAATGGTCTAATAATCGTATGCTAAATGAGCTCTAATAATACACTGTGTCCAAAATAAGAAGAGCCAGTATAGGGATATCGGAAACCATGAATGATACGAAGTTGGTTAGATGGGAAAAAGGTTGAGCATTTAACAGTCTAATAAAATAGCGCTTTCCAATCTTTTATACAAATTTTTGTTTCAAAGCTCGAGCAAGATCGACTACATTTTTACATGAGTTAACAATCAATGGCCGAGACTTTGTTTTTTAAAATATTCATTTAAAATGCAAAGTTGACTGTTAACATTTTTTATGTACCAACTCTTTGGTGGTTTTCAGCTGACTGCCTGACTTAAAAGCTACCCTTAAAAATGTAAACGAAATCCTAGCTTTACCTACTGCCAAAAAATACTTCTGGTTAATATCTAATCTACCAATGTATGGTTCACACACTTGAACAAGTAAGTGTTCAGTTCCTGGGAACCAAGGGATGGCACTTCACGTTAAGGGTGTCGTAGACAAGTCAAGTGCGGATCGTTAGGCCTGATATAACTCATGGCAACTTTAATAGATACCTCCCATCTTCTCAGTTTTTTGCCTCGACGTTTCGTTTTCAAAAAATCGTTAGCAACGTTTTTTTTAAACCACCCTGTTTATTTGTTAGCAACATATGGACGTTTAGATATGTTTTGATCGGTTTTTTTAATAAGTCATCGAAAAATTGTAAACGCAGACATGTATTTGCAACGCTGGTACTCAGTGTAGGATATGTATTGAAATTCACTTGAAAAAACATATTAGCCTCCATTTCCAAACGCAAATTGACTCTATAACAGGTCTTAGCATCATATGGCGTCACACTTTCAAAAGCTGCAATAACCAATTTAAAGAGTTCTATTCAGTTGCAAAACTTAGGCCCATAAACATAATTGATATACCTACTCCCACAAAAAGAAATCAAGTGGAATGATATGGGATGATCGTGCTGGCGAAGGCGTCTCAGAATAAATGCTTAAATGTCTGTTGGAATCGAATCGACAGATATTCTCTAACTTTTCTAGAATTGGGGCCAGGTGCACGCAGCACATTAGCTTAGAAAAAGCAAAATTAACCTTTCGTCAAGCATTGCACAAATATTGCATCTTTCATCTCGAAATATATTCATTCGACTTCATAATCAAGTCGATATCAACAATGCTCTTACATTCATTCCTTATCGCAACTGATAGTTAAATACAATTGTTTATTGTTGTAAGAAAAATGTATCCATTTCGTCACACTTTGCTATCTGTAAACTCTTATTTAAAAGGAATTTTCTTTCAACACTGGTCAAAAATCTTAGCGCTCATCATCATCAAATATTATGGCCAGTTATTGGAAAAAGTCTAATTCACTGTTAACTAGGTATTAATATTGGCCGATCCAAGGCACACATTTCAGTATCTAATGACATAACGACTTTTAATATTAAAAATAGCCTTGAGAACTACCCGACTACCGACGACCGAGCCGAAATGACCATTTTTAGTGGAAAAATGGGTTTTAATCCAGTCCCAAATACTCACAAACTTAATAACATTTAGGGCAAGTAATGTGTTCAGACAGAAAGGTTTCCGACTATTAAATTGAATGCGAACACTCGCATAGACCTAAGCGGGTATCCCATGCATCCGTTTATACGATGGTACGAAAAAATGTTTCTATTGGTCAGAGATTTTAGACGTTCGTACGATCCCGATTTTTAGCTGTCCCATGTATACGATAACTTGCCGGATTCACAATTTTATTACACGGGCTTCAAGCCTGTGTCCCATACATCCGTGTAGACGATGATACGAAAATGTTTCTACAGTGGCGACAAGGCCAAAGCTCCTCCCATTCACTATTATGGGTCGAATCAATCTGGCACATATTTTGCATTGATCTGCATGACTCAAGTCTCTTTCTTTAATTTGAAATAATTGCCATAATATAAAACATTTTGCGATTAAATTAGTAACCAGCTAAAGATGAGTTTGTCTATATAAAATGCATTTCCTTGATAATTAAGTCAGCTGAATCGAGATGCAATTCAGTACGTAAAAATAATTGTTTTCAGCAATGGAAATTTAGGTTAGGTTTAGGGTTTCAGTCTTGTTCGTTCCTCATTATAAATCAAACATTTGTTTATAAGCGAGCGTATAATAGACCCACTTGTAACCATTACTGAGTAATGTTTATTGTATAGGTCCCAGGTATTAAAACACGCAAAACAAACATTATAAGATATTATTTGGCTTTATTCAATAAAAACATACATATAATTTCTGACGTCTAGACGCAATATGATACTCTATAAAATTCAGAAAGTAAAACGCGACTCCATAGTCTGCATAGAAAATAAAATAATTTCTGCACCAAAATGGCGAATTTAATCACGTGAAGGCCTTAATCAATAGAAAACCAGACTACCATTGTCGTCACTGTCTTGTATAAAGCCACTGTAAGTGTTTCTATTGGATATCTGTCAATTCGTCCGTATCGTCGTACAAACTGACAGATCTCCAACCAATAGAAACACTTTCGTACCATCGTATTAACGGATGCATGGGACACGGGCTTTATTCCAAATGTTTTATCAATTAATTTGTTGATAAGCTCTGGGCAAATTTACTTTACTTACTTTACTGAAACGGTCGGCTTTGCTTGCAATTGCTTCTCCGCTACTGATAGTTCACGGTAGATTTTAATAAGTTACGCGTAAAGTAAAATGTTTATTTGTAATGACAGAAAAAGAAAGCGAGGAGCCCTTCACCCGAATCTGAAGCGGAACCGAAAGTAAAACGACCGAGGAAAGACGTTTCGGACAAGGAGGATTCTGATGCTGAGGGAAAAGCCAAACAGAAAAAGCGAAAGTCTGATTCAAAACCGCAGTCTAAGAAAGACGATGAAAAAGCGAAAAAAAAGGTAGCCAGTAAGAAATTGGAGTCTGATTCAGATGAGGAAAAATCTAAGAAAGAATCCAAAGATAACGAAGTAAGTCAGAATTTTATAGGTAACACACAATTGTCCGTTCCTTGAAATGATCAAATGTTAGCCATATTACGGTCCCGGTCGTCTTTACGATATATACGCATTCACTTACTTCTTAACAATGATGTGTATTGTGAGTGTGAGGAATATTTCAAAATTATGTGTTCTTGGTCTTGCAGGTTGAGAAAGACTCAGATGAGGAGAATGTATCTGTTAAAGGCAAAGCGCGAAAGCGATCCGATGTAAAAGACAAGGGAAAGCCGTTATCGAGAAAATCGGGATTCGAAAGAGGTTTGGATGCTGAAAAAATTATCGGAGCATCTGACTCCACGGGAGATCTCATGTTTCTTATGAAATGGAAAGGAACGGATGAGACAGATCTGGTAGCCGCAAAAGAGGCCAATGTGAAATGTCCGCAAGTGGTAATCCAATTTTATGAGCAAAGGATCGCTTGGCACACGCCGGAAACCGAATCATAAGTTTACTGTAGTTCAGAAGTGCATATTATAATGTTTATTTTATAAGTTTGAATATTTCATTAATAAAGTAAGAATATTTACTTTTGTTTCAGTTTGCAATTTATGATTTAAGCAATGGCAGCGTGTTTTGTTGCTTTTATTCAAAAGTTGTAACTATTATTTTCAAAATTATACTGAAAAAAAAAATTCAATAAATAAAATGTATGAAAACCGTTATCGCGTGAATTACGCATTGCATTATTTAACAGGCTACAATCAACATTATTACAGGACATTGATAGGATAAATCGCGCCTCTGCTTCTAAACATAATAATAAATGACAATTACTATTTAGGAAGTTGATTGCAAATAACTGACTGTGACTGTTAGCAATTTTGAAATATCATGTGTATTAGTACTAAATAAGTTGAATTAAAATGGACAAAATGAACGGATCTTTCAATAATATATTATTTTGAAAAGTGTTTTTTATTGCCTCTGAGTTCCGATTTGGTCAAGTTATTTAGAAATCAAATTAATTGCTTTTTAAATTAACGGTTTGCGATTGAACATTATCAAAAAGATAATTTTTGGAAACAAAATGTAGTTTGATTTGTAGCTCTTTAAATATTTTTAATTAATCTGTCCTCTGTATATGTTGAAAGTCTAGACTGCGTTTTGTACATATAGTCTTTTCTTTTATGGTAACCTGATTTGTTTGGTGGAAGTTATCGTTTTCAATTAATTTCCCCATGAAGTTATTTGAAAGTCAAGAACATTGACTTGTTTCTTATATGAGCCGATCTGATATACGATTTTCGACAAACAGTGAGTATAAATCGAATGGTATGCAGCAAGTGATGCTGCTTATTTGCATAGATTCTAGATTGTAAAGAACATCGCATTAGAATAAGGACTTTAATGATATAAGTAAAATACAGATGAGATCAAGGATTTACTTCAGCAGGTTGTGGTTTGCGCTTCTCAGTCTCCGCCTTCTGTTTTTCTTTTTCTTCTTTAAACTTCTTTATAACCTCCGGCGGCATGGCGAACAATTTCTCGGTTTTAACAATGGGTGTGAAATCTAAATTTACTATCTAAAAACAATTTATTTAGGCAATGAATGAAAAGCCACAGAACCCCTGATCAATTTGTAGTTTCATATTTTATAGCGTGTTCATTAATTGGATAGAAGTTGTTGTTTTGACTCTGAATTTTGGTTTTCATGATAAGAATGGCAAAAAAGTTTTCTTGTGCAGCTCGAACCAAATGGAAAAATAAATGTAAGGATTGAGTTTGCTAGCATGTGTGAAAGATACACTGTTGTCTTATTTAAGAAAAAATATTTTGAGCCTTAGTACTTCTTGACTAAGGCTCCGAATATTTACAATAGAATTAATATTTTTTAATAAGTAAATTTTAGAAAGCTATTTTTTATTTTAATTAATTATTTTTTTAAGTATGCGTACGTTTGATCTATTGCTTTCAATGTAAGTGCGCACGTTTTGAGCTTTAAGCCTTCGAATGAAGTTATTTTTACTCCTTCATACATGCTTATTTCCAATAAATCATTTTTTTTTACTTGAAGAAGCACTTGAAGTACACAGTGTGTGTGGAAAACTATCAATTGCTTTACCACAAGTATAACTATTCATTTGGAAAATATGCGCAATTTGAGAAACATAATATATAAACATACATACATACACACATACAAATTTACGAAATAATGAACGCCAAAACTTGGCTTTGCAAGATAACAATACTTCTTTGTATTATTTCTTAAACTCAAATTTAAAAACATGGTCCAAATCCGTTTTTCACCCTTGTATCAAAAAATCTATTATCGAAGGCTCTTAAGAGCACGAAAGGTAAAGATTGCAATATTTTCTGTATCATAATATTCTTACTTGAGGTAGAACAGAGACCACGTAGTTTCTGTATCGAGGATGATTCGCTATTGGATTGCCATGAAATGTTACACTTCGCAATTCTGTTAGCGGCCGCAATTTATACACTTCGTTCAAGTCGTTGATACAGTTTCCATGAAAGTACAATATGGTTAGCTTTGGAAACTTCAGCAGGCTCTATAAGGTAAGCAATTTTAATTATAATAGCGCTCTTTTTGTGACCGTTTGAAAATCAATTATCAAAAACGCCCAGGTAGATTTAGGAAGTATCTTTATAAGCATAAGAAGAATTTGTGTGTATTTTAAAATATACAGATAAGAAATGAAAATTAAATTTCTAATTTTTAAAAAAAATGTAATTAATAGTTGATGTTGTTAACGACTCGAACAATGACCAGTAGAAATTATGTTGGCGGCTTTGAAGTATTCCATAGTTCCATAAAAATAATTATTGTCCTCACAGTGTCTTGCAATGAAAGCATAATTTCATATCAGCGAAGCTTAGATATTTGTTAGTTTTCTAAAAAGTTCTTCATGGGATTTTGCCTAAATTTAATGTAACTCACCTGTTCTTCAATTTCGGTTATGTAATTAAACGAGAAATCTATCCATCCAAGTTGGGCCGGATACTCGATTGTGGCATTTACCAACTCGTGAATATTTCTCGTACTCTTCAGTTTATTGTTGTTCAACCAGAGCGATTTTGTAAGAAATCGCTTTTCCGGGCCTCTATCCGGAACGCCACCCACTCGAGTGTACCGGACTCCTTCCAGACCAATGGCTGTATTTAAAACAAAAATAATTTTCTAAATAAATAACTTTCAATCCAATGAAGAGTGCACTTTGTTGCATTGTTCTTCACTAGACAAATTTTACGTGCTTTAAATCCTTGTAATTTTTTCCTTCCGTAAGATACTAAATGATATAATGCGAAATTTTCAGTAGTGACGAGTGGATTAAAATGAGTCACTTGGGCACGTCGATTTTTATTTTATACAAAAGAAACAACTGCTGAATTTTAAACGTTTGTGTTCCAACCGACCTGTCCTCACTGTATATACGAACTTATACAGGATTTCTGAACAAAAGCCAACCACGGTTTCCTGGAGTGAAGTCATGATTATTTCGTATAATTTGTGTAATTCGAAAGTGGATAACTTTCAAAGGACTCGGCGTAAAAGTTAAGAACGCATCTGAACCTTTGTTAGCACTTTCTTCTTCACTTCGTAAAATGTCGTTAGCACCTTCTAAGCACGTTGACAACTCGCAGCAAGAACATTTTTTTATTGCCCAGTTTTTATGATTAGAGGTGTGTTTGCGATACATTATTTTATCGAAAACGCATCGCAATTTATCTCGAGATATTAGAACTTTGAAATAATAGTTATTTATTAAGACACGATTTATTGTTAACTGATAGTGGAACACTATTTTTCTTGGGCCAACGTTTTCGTTATATTAGGGTTTTAAAAGGGGAACAGGGTGGTTTCAGTCTAAAGTATAGTAATGTCATTCGTGAAATTTAAAATAAAAGAGAAACCGACACAAAAGCAAAATCAAATATGAGACACGGGATGAGCACAATATTGTTCAGCATTAGATCAAAAAACAAAATCCACAATCATGACTCAGCTTGATTTTACTTTTGCGCCTTCCTCTTTTATTATCACAATTAATATTGCATTTTCAAATTGTTTTAGAGGTATTTTCCTGATTTTTAACTTCACTAGACATTCTTTAATTTTGAAATACCTATTTAAAAAAGAAGCGCTTCTACCAAGAGTACCTACCTTGGACTTTATTGCATGACAAATGTGTGCAATTCTAATAACAGAAAAAGCTCTGAAAATGATTTTCGTATGCCTGACTGCGATCTTTTCAATGTTCCTAGAAAGTATTGACGGATTTTCATATTACCACCCAAAACATATCGCCCGAAACAAAATTTAAAAGTGAAAAATTAAATCATTATGTTTTCATCTCAAGAATAGAATCTCTGAGATAGGTTTTCGTACAGGCACCCGTGAGGTTTTTACTCATTTTTTTTTACTATTATGTACTTGTCTAGTAAAAAAAATATTGTTTCATTATCTTCACAGAAGCTTTCATAATAAAGACATTAAAAAATCATACTTAAGATTCATCTGTTTGAGCAAAAATTGTCTTGAACAGCAGATTTACAAAGCACTAAGTGCTAGTAAGTGCACACTGATGAAATAAAATACAATCAAACCTGAGAGAAATTTTTCGGAATCCAAGTGCCGAATCCCATTGAAGGAAAAATCTGCTGGTGCACCGGGTGATATGCTCATTATATAAAAAAACAAATAAATAAAGAGCAAAAGCTGCTTTATTTGACTGCGTTGTCAATTTAAAAATAGACAATAGACCCAACAAACCTGTGATGCATGTCAACTTTTTAAAGGAAAAGTCCGCAGGTTTAGCTAATTCGAGCTTTTTCAAATATTGAGGCGGAATCGTCATTTCTGTAATTGCACGTTTAAATTTTCTTCATTGGCTGACTTGATTTATTTTTCACGCAAGTTTCGGATTTTATTCCATGTCATCGCAGAATATTTTATTTCACCAGTAATGATTCTAATTAGCTTAATATGCCTATCTGGTACCTTTATTGTTAGCTTGAAAAAATCGATGAAGCCCCATCAGAGTTGGTAAATAAAAAATTAATCCTGATATTCAATTGAAATATCATTAATGATAAAATTACATAGCTAAATATATTTTACTTTCTTCCGCGTATTTAACAATTTTATTAAATAGATTATATCTGTTCTTAACGGTTTATTCGGACTTGCAATGTTTTAGCGATCACTATCGAAGAACAACGGTCAGTCACCGTCACCATATATTGAAATATAGGGATTATTTACTGAGGAAAACATTTAGAACACTTAATTTCGATTTTTGGCGTAGAATGAGGCATATTGCCAATTCGCACTACATTTAATAACTCGAAGCTGTTAAGCTGGAGTTTGTAAGAAAATTAACATGAAAAAATAAACTACTGTTTTTCTTCCAAAAAAATCTGCTTTCGCACAATGAAGTTCTCTTGCTCGATCTTCTATCAACAGATAAAACTACCAGGCACAAGCAAAAATAAAATCCACTGTTTGTTCTACTACTCGTGGAGATCCTTCGGATCGATCTATCAACTAGGAGCGTTGATTGGCAAAATCATTACCTTTTGATTCAATAATCAATATAATTTTTTAAATATATTTGCTTACCGTGGCAAAGCCACAGGACATTTTAGTCAAGTCGTCTCCTTACAATGTCCTCGCCAGCTTCCAATAGAAATGGATCTCCCGTCGCTCTGTAGAGGTACATTATCGACTCTACTAATTCAGGCCTCAACGGGTAGCTTTCCTTGCCTGCTCCAGCCTCATTTTG